TCCCCCGGAGAATCGGCGACACAGCGGGGACGGCCCGGGGACATCGCCGAGCTCCGGCCGGGCGCGGTGCGGCCCCCCCCGGTGCGGGGCCGGCCGGGATGACATCACCTCGCGGCGGCTGCGGCACCGCCGCCCCCGGCCCGGGCCCCGCTGCTCCCGCGGCCGCGTCCAGCGGGGACCCGCAGTGGCCGAGCCCCCGCCCGGGCGGGGCCGCCCCGCAGGGCAGCACAGCGGAGGCGGTGCAGGGCAGATCCCCATGTCCGTCCGTCCCTCCCTCCCTCCCTCCGGCGCGGCCGCTCCCCGCTCACCGAAGGTGCGGCGCTGCTTGAAGGGCCGGTCCGAGGGCATCGCGGCGGGACCGGGACGGCACCGGGACCGGGCGGCTCCGTCTGCGCTGGAACTGCGGCGGAGCGGCGGTGACGTCACCTGCCCCACCCGTAGGGGGTGGGGCTTGTCCCGCCCGGGGCACCGCCCACCCCCGCGACCCCGGAGCTCGGTCTTGCCGGGTCCCGCAGTCGCCCGGGAGCCGCCGACTTTGTGGGGCTACACACGGCTTTGGGCTGGAAGGGGTCCTACAGCCCAGCCCGTGCCACCCCTGCCAGGGGCAGGGACACCTTCCATTGTCCCAGGCTGCTCCAAGCCCCATCCAGCCTGGCCTTGGACACTTCCGGGGATCCAGGGGCTTCTCTGGGCACCCGGTGCCAGGGCCTCCACACCCTCACAGGGAAGAACTCCTTCCCAATATCCAGTCGAAATCTCACCTCTCTTAGTCTTTGGACTAGCTATTCCCTCTCGTCCTATTACTATCTGCCCCTCTCTTTTTCATAAGCCCCAACACAAGAGTAGAGCAGCTGGTGACACGAGGACAGCCATTCCATAGGACACCATGGCAGAACATCCCCATGTTCCATTTCATGGGACATAATGGTTTATTCAGAGATGACCCAAAACACGAGCATTTTTTCCAGTCCTGATGGAGCAGAGCACTTGAGGGCCTAGCTTAAGGCAGCAGAAATACATCTGGGCTGGGATTTCCGCAGGTGCTCAAAGGATGGAGGTGTCCATGACTCGAGCCTGCAGTGGCATCTTCTGGACATCTTGGTTCAAACATCTTCCAAGTGTCACTGCCAGCTTTGGGCAGCAAACATAGCTATTGTGAGAAGGGTGGAGGAGAAGGAAGGATTGTGTGGGGATGAAGCCACAACAGTTCAGACCACAGGCTCCAGCCAACAAACCTGGATTTAAACATACATTTAATCATACAGATACTCAGACATTTGCAATTCCCACATGTACCCCAATCATCTCCCCACTAACGAGCCTGTTGTTTTCCCTGCTGCATTCACAGCCGTGGTTATGCTGAATATTTTAAAGGCTGCAGCACAACTACAAATAGGGCAGCTATTTCTGGAGCTGGTAAATGAATCAAAAACAACTGCAAACAGAGCGTCAGTGTTTCACCAGGTCTAATATTCCTTCTCACTGCACACTGCAACAGGAGCTAGAGCACTGTGGCACAAAACAGGAACAAACACAAATGTTAAAGGATTAAGTACAACCTTGGTAAAAAAAGAAATGAAAGATGCAGTTTTGAAAGAACTGCTCTGATTATTGTGCCACCAGTTAAAACAAATATATATTTAATGAGAAATGATGAAATTCTTGTTTCCTTGTTGAGTTTACCCAAGAAAGAAAATATTTTCATAGCCAATATAATGGATTTTCCTTGACCAAGCAGTAGTTAAACAAGCACATACTGGTAAGGAAGTATAAACTCACAAGATTCACTTTCATAATTAAGATACAAGTAGAAATATTAACCTCTGATTATAGGTCCTGTTACTCTGAGAATACTGAAGGGAAAGCAGGAATGTTGAATCAGACATGGCAAGTGATGACCCCTACAGACTTCATCTTCAGCAAAAGGGTTTATTACAGTTGCTATAAAGTGTGAACCTCTTTTTGATGAGAGGAATGTGGAAGTCTTCCCAATTTAGTGATGTGGCCCCTGGTTTTATCCATGCAGACCTCATTGCAGGACTGGGGCCATAATTCCACAGAATATTATCCAGACACCTGGAGAGGGAGAAAAAAACCATTTCATAGGAGCCCTGGAGCATCTCAGCATATTAATGCTTCTCAGCATTCCAGAAATGGGATATGGATCAAAGACGTTTGATTTAATTTAGACACTTCCTCCTTCAACCCTCAGCTTCTTGAACAATCCTGCACACATTAATGCCTCTCTTGCCTGGTCTTACTGATGTCATGGGCAGAACTCCTTATTTAAGGAGGTGCATTTCAGATCTAACCCCCCCTCCCCCGGATCAGTCAAAGGTTTAAGGCACCACCGAGCCTAATATGACCTGGAATCAACAACCAGCTTCCCGCATGCCAGCATTCCATAGTGTAGCAACAATAATGAGCACTCCTGGATCTTGTGAAAACACAGCAGTGAGGCAAATCTCTCTGAAGGAATCCTGTAATGCTGCTAAAAGGAAGTGTGTTTTTGTCAATGGAACTGGGTTGTTGCTCAGGCTCCTGCTGGCCAGGGCAGTGTCTGGGCTCCTGCCCCTGCACCCCCAGCTGCTTTTGCTTCTCCTGCAGCTGGTGGGTGCCAGGAGCTGCTGTAGCTCTGCTCACTTTAGCCCAGCCTCTCTTGGTGAGATCTCTGTCCCCTAGAGAAGTAAGACAAGATCAAACATAAATCACAGACTGGTTTGGGTTGGAAAGGACCTTAAATCTCATCCAGTCCCAATCCCTGCCATGGGCAGGGACACCTTCCACTATCCCAGATTGCTCCAAGCCCCATCGAACCTGGCCATGGACACGTCCAGGGATGGGGCAGCCACAGCTCCTCCGTGTCCTCTATGTGAAGGACACTATCATCAGCTGCCTTAGGCAGGGGAGGAGTTACTTGGGAGGGCACTGGAGCCAGCAGAAATCTATAGAAGGTTTTACACAAGCTCAGCTTTTAGAGTGTTACCTCCACTCCTCTGTCAGAGCCTTATCTCGGCACAGAGGCAGAGCAAGAGACACATCATTGGGCCTCAAGTGCTGTTCTTCCCAACCCAGAGCTATGTCCCAAACTCCCTTTCATTACCTTGTTAATCCATCAGGGCTTTTTTCCCAGCAGCAGATGCTTCCTCAGCCTTCGACAGGGATCCACAAAAACCAAAACTGACTTTTCCAAGACAGCAAATCAAGCCAGTCTCCAGCCCCAGCAGAAAGCAGCTCCAAGGTGCAGGTGGCACAAGCCTACTGTGATCCTGGCTACAAAAAAGGACTGGAAGATGATGTTCATTTTTCTATTCTTCCTCAGTTTGGCATTAGTTTTACCATACAAATAACCAAGCCCACACTCACAAAGCACAGGACCAGAAATTGAGCTCCATCCATCCCTTTTCTTGACCCTGTTTATGAGAAGGTAGAAAAATCCCCTAACTTTCATAAATGGAAATTGCTGCCAGCTCTGTGACACTCTAATGGTCCTGATCCAAATAAACTTTAGTTTATTAGTTTAGTTACTATTTAGCTTCGTTACTTTGTTCCATAGTAAGTAAATGAAACTTGCTGTTCTTCAGCTTCCTTCACTCCTTGCCAGTTTTAAAAAATAAATCTGAGTTAACTTTGGTAAAGGTGGCACTACATGGCTTAAGCAAGGCCCTGCCCAGATGGATCTGACAAGCTCCTTGACTCCAAACTCAGCTTATGAGCCTTTCATTCAAATTCCCAAGTATGTTTCATCTCAGGCTGCTCTCAATCCCTGAGAAAAAAAACGCAAACCAACCCCCAACCCTCCAACCAACCAGCACATAGCAGTAGTTGAGTCATTTCACTGCAAGTTTATAATCTCAAGACAACAGAAAAGGGCCACGATCTTTTGTTTTGTGACAGGTTATTTATTACAGCTTGTTTTAAGTAAAACCAACACTCAACACTCTCTGTCCCAAGCTCCTGTGACACAAAGCTACTGGTAGAACAGCTATCCTTAAGGAAGTGTCCAAAAGAATGCAGGACACTGCAGATTTTTCACTGGTCAGAGAAGTAGCACTGCCACTTACTTGGAAAAGCCAAAATCCATAAGCAGGTCACTACCTCCAAGGAAATAATTCTCTGGGTTACAAACAACAGAGAGAGATCACTGAGGTCACATTTTTCTTCTGCCTTGCCTCACTGTTCAGTTATTACCCAGGCTTCAGCTTGCTGGAGGTCATTTTTTTGGGAGGCAGCATTCAGTTATCGGAGATCACAGGCATTATGTAAACTGCTGTGTATCAGGAGCTGCTCCAAAGGCCAAGCAGGAGAAACAGCTCATGGACAGCAACAATCAACACTGAGTCATGGGGGCAGCTGAGACACCCAAAGTACTGATGCCACAGGGCTACAGATCCCAACAAGCATTTCTGACCTTCAGGGTCATGGCCACCATGTAGAAGGTTAGACAGTCCAAAAACTGACGTCCAGTTAGAGAGAAAACCCTGAACATGCAGATTACCTTGGCTATTTGAGTGTCCACAGACCCACCCTTTGCTGGTGGCCACAAGTCTGAAAGCCACAAGTGCACAAGTCAACACCAACATCTTTACCAAAGTCTCCACAGCTGCACTTTCTGGAGCACCCCCAGTCCTGCTTTTTTTTTTTTCTTCCTGAAGAAAACCTCCACCAAAATAACCCCATGAACATTTTGGAGTAGCCATGTGGGCTTTTTTTTGTCCTTAATGGCATCAATAAAAAAATATTAAAGGAAAATAGCAGATCAAACTGGCTACTGAGCTGTGACAGTGTGAGATCTCCCAAGGGTGGCCTCAATGGCCTTCCTTAGCCATGCAAATTCTGTCTGAAACACAAAGAAATTTTGAGTGCACTGCGCATGCCCTTAGGCCAAATCCTTGTTCGGAGAAAGCAGAAGTCCTAGGAAGGTTCTGTTTTTTTGAAGAGAAACACAATCATGAGAAAACTTAAAGTCTTGAGAAGAAAAACACGTAAGACAAAACCAGTTACTGGTGACACTTTTTAATTTCTTATGGTCAGACTTTTTTAAGTAAAACCAACAGAGTAAGACAGAACTAGAGGACAGGAAGTCATATTTACAGCCATTCAAAACTAAGAGTGTAAAAGCAGTGCTCAGTGGTGAAAGAAACATAGAAGCATACAAAGATTAGTCTTTTTTGTTATTATTATTAGAATTTTATTATCTTAGCTATCAAAAGAATCTGTTGCATCTTTTACTGCCCAATTCCAACTCACCAGCTCCCAATCAAAATGACTTGTGATACAAAAAGTGCCATTTTTTCTGTTTGTAGTCAACAAAACCATCTACTTTAATTCTCCCAAACCTTACTGAAGAGTCACAGCACAGTTAACACTAATGCTCTATTCTTTATCATTAAATAAAACATAAAACAGGGAAAATAAAACAGGCAAAGGGAAAAAAATAGACTGAGTCAGTGTAATCATTCAGTTGGATTCTGGATGACAATCAGGAAATAGTCTTTATCTGGAGAGGAAAAAAACAAGAGAATTATTCTTTCACTGCTGGTATTTGCTCGCAGAAACAGTAAATTCCAACATTTTTCACATCTCTCTGATATACTGTGGGAACTCCAGAGCCCTGACATGCAGTCGCAATGAGCAAAACAGGCTCCAAGTGTCAGATCATTTATTTTATGAGTTTTACTGAGAAAAACTCTCAGCTTTAGAAACTGCACATTCCCAAGGCAGCTGAATTTAATTTAGTTTGTGCCAGCAAATTACAGTAACTGGCATGTGCCACACTAGTGCAAGATGGCCACTGCCCTTCTCTCACAGGCACACTGAGGGCCACAGCTGTTTTTTTTGGAGCAATGCTTATTCCTCTTTCCATCCTTCCTGTGGAAATCTGAGGCTGCCTCAGCATGTTAAGATCTGCCCTGGCCCATGCCTGCCTAGGGGAACTGCCATCCCCTGCCTGGTCTCTCCACCAGCCCCATCCCAGCAGGGAGCATGCAGGGACAAGGCTGAATTCCTGCCACATGAGGGACCTGCACTCATCTCGCTGCTTCCCAATCTGGAATTCGACAAAATACTGAGGATGTTTCCTGAAAAGAAGGTTGCTGCTGCTGTATACCATGACTCATGATTACAGCTACAGTGTACTCTAATATTTTTCCCAGAACTAGAAAGTCAGGACTGCCTTGTTTTATCACTCAGTTCACAGCTCTGAATGGAAATTGCTCCCAGAATATATTTCTTTCCAAATCCTAGGGTTTTATATTGAAAAACAAAGCATGAGAGGGTGCAGCACTCTCTCATGCATTATCTAATACTTTCTACTTTGATCTACACAAAATGAGGGAAGGGATTTGCCACATTCAAACATGACAAAGGAAACTTAGGTCAATGATAAAGCTTTCCACTCTCCAGAAAGTAGAATAGCTTATTGGAAAGAAGGGATTATCTAATGTGAATACAAGCAGCAGGCAGACTCCTTTCAGGCGGACAGTGTCAGTCTCAAGAGAAAACAATCCTGCTGGATTCCCAGATTCCTGCTTTCGCCCTGCTCTTTCCTACCTGGAGCAACCATGATTTCGTTTTTCTTGGAGCGGATCCGCAGGAATGTGAGGTCGTTCTGGGGATCGATGTCCCGCACGGTGCTCCTGGCCTTCATGATGAAGCTGTGCATGAGGCCGGCGTACTGAATGGTGGTGGAGTTGTCTATGGTGCTCTTGATGGGAATACCTGCAGAAGAGGGACAGCAAGGCTCAGTGACAAACCTCCAGAACCAACTCTGCACTGGGCAGCACCAGGTCCAACCTCGGTTGTCATTGCACCAGGGGTTAGGAGTGTTCTCTTTGAAGGCAAGATGGAAACATGAAGAACAACAAGGTATGAAAAAGCTGAGACATGGAACCACAGGTGTAGGTGAGAACTGTTTACCTCTAGCAGCATCAGTGCTTTACTTTTGCATTTTGAGAGTTAGATATAGAAAGAAATGAAACAAAAATAATTATCTATAGAGGACTGAGGAAATACCAATGCTGCAGTTTTTTCTCCTGACTGGGGACATCTTTATTACTTCAGAAAGGCTCCCCAACACCAGTTAAATGGCATTGAGAGAGGCCAGGCTGGGACCAGTGATTATGGAGGACACCAGCTGCTGCATCCCACACTCCAAGACTGAAGTTCCAACATTCAGCCCTAAGAGGTGGTGCAGCCCTGGGAGGTCTCTGGTTCAGTGATAACCAGCCTCAAGGGCAGGCACACTGTTCAGCCACCCATCAGATGTGTTTTCCCACCAAAAGCCAGTCAAATCCCAGCTCCTGGGTCAGAACACAGTAGCCAAGTACCAAATTCTGCAGGGCAGAACCAGGTGTGTGTTTGAGAAAACTGCAGCTGCAGCAGAGAGAGCACAACCCACTTAACCATTATAGAAAAGCAGCGAGCAGGAGCCAAGCTGCATGGTCTGATCCTCAGTATATTCACATGTAGATACTGTCATATTTTCTAAGGATTATTTCTAGGAAATATTCAATTTTTGGGCTGCTCACTGTGTGTTCAGAGTGCTCTAAAGAAGTTGCTCTGTTGAACTCTTTAGAGACTTCAAAAAGAATCAACTTGCTGATAAGTTCCATGAGACTACAAGCACTAGACAGTGCTAAAGAACAGGAGTCTGCCAGGCAAGCAGTGTTCTAAACAGGCCCAGCAGAAAGATTTACATCGTGTGAGAACCTCAGTGCTACTGATTAAAGTTTTCACAAACACAGCTTCAAACACTGACATAACTCAAATATTTTGACACTTCTGCAAATTATTTTATTTCCTAAAATAATAAAGTGAGCTTGCAGAAATTTGAAACCAATTTTCTCTTGTAGCCTGACTGCTATCTGTCTCCTTGGGCTGCAGAATACCTCTTCCAAAGCCAGACTCTAAGTGCAAGTGGTACAAGCAGCAGCCCTCAAAGTGGGTGACTGGATTAAGTGATAGCTCAGAAAAATGAGGCTGACACAGCACCTTCTGAATTAACCACGATGATTCCCTGCACTCCTTTCTGGCTCTGGATTCGCTTCAGTGTTTCCTCCACCTCAGCCTGCAAGACAAAGCACAAATCAATACAGGGTTACAGCTGCTCTTTGCCTCCCACCAAAGCTTTGGGATAACGCGGCTGAAGACAAAGCTGCACAGGGATGATTAAATAGCCACTGCCTACACTGGTTTACACAGCCAAATGTTTGTACTTTGGTGCCACCTTTTCTGCATGACCTTTCCAGTTATTTTCCATCTGCCTTTCTTCTTCACTCATTTGTGATTATCATCCTGGAACTCCCCTCTCTCCTCCTCCCCAAGTCTCCTGCTGAAGGCTTGCAGCTGGAAGCTGTAGTCTGCTACAATTTAGGTGTCAAACAAAAATCAACTTTGAAAACAGACATGGAATTTATGAAAAAGTAGGAAAAAGATACATTGTGGGTGTAAGATGACCTCCCCTTTTATTAAATGAATGCCAAAAGCAATTACAAGTAAGAGAACTGAGGGGAAAACCAGTGAATGAACACTTTTTGTTTGTAATTCTGATTTGTGCTGGGATGGCTGCAAGGCTGTAACCACTGCCAAAAATTTACAACTCAAAAAAGGAAAAATGCAAATGCAGGCCAAGGCAATAGTCCTTTGCTCTATAAAAACCATCAAAGGAGGTCTCAGTACCTTCTGCACAACTTCCCTGCTACAAGACATCCATCAAAATGTAACTATGGCATCTGTAGTAGGGTGGGAAACTCTCGTACCTGAGCTGATTTCCACAGCTGGATGAGTATTTTGCATTTTTTATTTCCACTAAAGGAAATAGAAACAAGCAGCATCTTTCAGATCCTGCAAGGCAGAGTCTCCCAGAAATGGTTTAGGAAGGGAGACAGGAATTACCCGAACCAGGACAGGTGAGACCTACAAGGGACATTTGGACAAGGATGTGCTCCCTGGGCACCCTGAACAACCCTCTCCACTTCCTCCCACACCAAATGGGCACAAAGATGTCACATGCCCTGTTCCCTGGGAAGATACCTTGACAACAGCAAACACAACACAGAACAACACAACACAACATCAGCTCAGCCCTAGCACCACCAGCACTTTCCTCAGGCTGCTGCTGGTAACACAACTTGTGGCTCATAAGAGATGGGACCTCCCGAGCTAGTCTTTATGAAGTGAATTTTCTGTGTGATCCAACACAAAAAAATTCAAGAATTTTCAACAAAACTCTTGACTATTCTCAAATGGAAAGCAAGGGAAATGAAATCAACTAAAGGGTGTATGAATGCTGAGAAAATATAGTGGCAAAATTTTCAATCTATTAAGAAATTAAGATCATATTTCCTGCCTTCGAACTAGCACTATTTAAGTCCTGATTAAACAGTCCTTCATAGGACCTTAACAAAGGATACCAGTTTTTAATTTCCTCTAACACCTTCAGCTGATCTAACTCACAGGTGGGTCATCTGCTCTGACAGTTCACTGCTGCTGATGTGGGAAGGTCCTGCTCCTCCTATTTCCACTCTGGGGTTTGTCCAGCACCTGCACAAGCCAGTGCAGCTCATCAGACCAACAAAAATAGAACTGAGAAAAAAAATTTACATATTTAATTTATGAAACACACAAACCCCATTTTAATGAAGGGCTGAATAACTACAAGAGATAGCACATGGAGAAGGAGAGATGCACTACAGAAGAGGAGAATAAACACTCCCTCAACACCATTTTGCTGCGAAATACCCTTTGCTATATTTACTAAAGCAGCCTTTATCTTCCTGTTTTCATCTGCAATACCTGAATTCCTAGGTTTGCCTAAAAAGTATATCTTATTAGATAATTTCAATTTTCCCTCTGCAACTTCGGTCAGCATTTATTTCTTTACACATTTTAACATACATTTTGATCCCCAGATTCATCAACATGCAATAGCCAGCAACACATCTGAGCAGGGAGAAACCTCCAATTCAATCACAACAGAATGAATTCAGTCCCGGTTATTAAATATCCAAAACCAGTCTCTTTTTCCGGACTGCTTCCAGCTTTAGGGGTGTGCCCTGGCAGCCGCAGGAATGGCCGGTTTCACTGTGCGTGTTTCCCCAGCACAGGGCTGCGCTGGATCGGGTAAAGGTTCGGCCTCCGCCCGCAGTGACTCAGGGCAGGCAGAGCCAGTGAGGCCCCAAGGAAGCAGCGCCAGGACCTGCAGCACCCCCGGGCCCGCCATGCACAAACACTACCCCACTCGGGGGCCTGACAAAGAACCCGACACACAACCCAACACGAACCGAACCGGGCCGGGCGCTCCCAGCCCCCGCAGAGACCACACGGCGCCTCGCCTTTACCCAGGCCCTGTGCCTGAGGGGAGCCGGGACCGGCACCGGCCGCAGGAGCCCCCAAGGGCCGGGAGGCACAGAGACCCTCGAAGGCAGCACAGGGGCCCCACCCGGACTCCGGCCCGGCCTCACCCACCATGATGGAGCCGCCGCCTGCGCCCGTCTCGGCCCCGGCGCTGTCCCGGAAGCGCTTGGAGCGCGGGGCGGGCCCGCTCCGGGGACACCGCCCCGAATCCTCCAGCCTCTCGGAGTCCGCGCAAATCTCCCCCGAGCGTCCGAGGCCGCGACTAGGGGTGGTGTTGGTCGCTGATTCCGTTTTAGGGAAATCATCATGAAACCCCAACCTTCTAGAGTGTCCCACCGGTGGGACGAGTCTGTTTACAAGAGCCTGGAGCGACAGGACAAGGGGAGATTGGTTCATATTGAAAGAGAGGAAGTTTAAATTGGAGATTAGGATGGAATCCTTCCCTGTGAGTGAGGATGCCGAGACCCTGGCACAGGGTGCCCAGAGCAGCTGTGGCTGCCCCATCTCTAGAAGTGTCCAAGGCCAGGTTGGACATTGGAGCTTGGAACGGCCTGGGACAGTGGGAAGTGTCCCTGCCCATGGCAGGGGGTGAAATGAGATGGCCTTTAAAGCTCCCTTCTCACCCTCACCATTCTGTGATTCCATGATATTCCATGAAAAGAACTCCATTTGGAGAGTTCTTTTTACCCCGGAATGGCTGCGTCCCCTCAGCTGCTGCCGGAGCTCTCCCAGAACAGGGGCACAGCCACTCCAAGGCATGGCGCACCCTAAAGCCCTGGGACCTCCCTGCCACAGCCCCGAGGATCCGTGTCCTGAGGGTGAAAGTGTGTGCTGCGCCTGCCAGTGACAAAGGAAGAGCTCAGCTCCCTTGGGGGAAGGACTGGGAATGACGCACAGTCTGATGGCAAAACAAAACAACACACTGAAGAACTGCATCCCACATAACCCCAGCTCTATTCTACACACACAACAGCAGCAGTTGGGACTTGCCCCCTGAGCTCAGGCTCTGCTAGAAGTGAAACAGAGAGTCCCAGAATGGTTTGAGTGGGAAGGGACTTTTAAAGGCCATCTCATGCCACCCCCTGCCACGGGCAGGGACGCCTTCTACTATTCCAGGTTGCTTCAAGCCCCGCCCAAGCTGGCCTTGGACACTTCCAGGGAGCCAGGGGCAGCCACAGCTTCTCTGAGCAACCTGTGCCAGAGCCATACAATCCTTACAGGGAAGAATTCCTTCCCAATATCCAATCTAAACTTACTCCCTATCAGTTTGAGTGCTCCTTCTTTTGAGACCACAACCCTGGAATCAGCAGATGCTGGGCTCACACTGAGCTCCCGCAGCAGTCACAGAGAGCTGGTATTGGATAAAATGTAAAACATGTCTTCACAAAGTGTTTTTAGATTTTTTTTTTACCCCTCTGAAAGCCAGGATTTGACACAGCAGGTAAGCACACTGGCCTCTCCAATCTGTCAGTCTGCATTCTCCTTAGAGAAAACAAGATTTCTTGAATGAGTCCTGTCATTTGGGCACTGCTGGCCAGACAGGCTGAGAATGGACATGGGATCAGGCATTGCCAGAGATCAGGAAAAAAATCCTTATTTAGGATCCAAGAGGCTATTTCCTCTCCTAGTGGCTATTTACAACTCTGCAACCTAGTTCAGTTAAATTCTAATTTCTCTTACCAGTCCAGCAGTAAGTTTTACAGCTTGGCTACAAGAAGTTATTTTACCATGGATTGATTTAACTTCTAATCTATGTGATGGTAATATTTGGGCAATAGTAAGGATGTGGTGGATAATTTGGGCAATAATAAGCAGTGCATAGCTGCCATCAGACACCTAAACCAAACATGGGTTTAAACAACCGTTCCCATCCTGCCATGAACAAAACCTTCCACACCCCCACCCATGAGTAGTGCTGACATTAGCACGGTCATCATCAAAGCAAACAGAAAAAAAATGGTGCAACTGAGTTGTACATTTATCATACATTGCATTGTGATTAATTTTTACATTTTAAAAATAAACTTCAGATGTATGTGAAATACCATTGTATCTGTACTCATAATAAAGTTGCCTAAAGCACCTTTCAAATTTTGGGTTTACACAACTTACTAGGATGCTTTTAAGTGGTTCCATTCAAAGCTTGGAGAAGCATCTCCACACTAAGGCAGCTATTAGTGCATGTATTTGCCTGGCACAGGAAATCATCCTTGAGATTTGCTGCCCCTGACAAAACTGTTAATTGAGCCTGTGGGAACACCTGGGAAAGTCAGAGGAAAAACAGTGGGAAGCTCTGCAGCAGGGAACATCACCCTCAGGAAAGGATGACCACTTTAGGGACCATTTCACCAAACTGGACAGAATCAAGTTCCTGAGACAGGATCACAAAATTAACTAGGTTGGAAGAGACCTTTGAGATCAGCAAGTCCACCCTATGACCTAAGACATGACAGACATCGCTGTGAGTGCTGAGGGAACTGGAACCTCACTGCAAAGCCCATCTCACTTACCTGGGAAAGCTCGTGGCCATCAGGAGAGGTTCTGATGACAGGAAGAATCTAAATGCCACCTATCCCTTCAAGGAGGATCGGGGACACTAAAAGGCTGGTTGGTCTCACTGGAGCTTTCCCCCCTCCTATGTGGCATTTTGTCAATCCAAACCACTTGCAGTGTCATTCCTCATTGTTGGTATCCCTGCAACAGTGCTGCAATGAGATGTTACAGCTGTGGCTTGTAGGAGCCGCAGGTCTGGACAGTCGGGACTGATGGAGAGATCTCTAAAGCCAGGTGTTGGAACTTGTAGTTTATTGCAAAGGGTGTGGGTAAAAGGGCCCTGCTTGGAGCTGCCAGCCGCAGCTTGGAGCAGGCCTGTGAGAGCAGGAAGGCAAGAGTAAAAAAAGTAAAGAGAGAGCAAGGGATAAGAGGTAAGAAGTAAGAGAGCAAAAGTAAGAGCATCAGAGAGATGAGAACGATGAGAGCGAGGTTCCCGTTACAATACAATAAATCTTCTGTGTTGAATATACTAATTTTCACTAACCAATCTAATAAAAGATACAAATCCTATAGCATTTACGTACAGCCTATAAGAATCATTACATTACCATACTGTATTACACTTTAAACCCTAAAAACTACTCTTTGGACCCTCTTTACCAAGCTAGTAGGGTCTTCTCTGCCCTTTGGACCTGTCTGCAAGCAGAGGGAATTGTTCAATCAAAAGGGGATTACTTTCAGTTGGCCATACTATTGTTTTCTAGTTGTTCAGTAACTAAGGTTTGGTATCTCAAAGATGGCTTTCATTTCAATCTTGCTTATAGTTTCCGTATTCTCAAAATCTTTTGCCAGGCAATCATATTTATAAGGTTTTCCAGTTTCATCTTCTCCAACAGTGGCTCCTACAGAACCTCTCTCCATTCCCTCTCCCTCAGGCCTCAGCAGCCTCACAGCCCTCACTGGGCTCCTCAGAGCAGCATCCACAAGCCTAAAAATCCACAAACTGTGTCCAAAAATCTCCTGTTCAATATCCAATGAAACCAACAAGAGTGGACGAGGTCTTGGGAAAGAACTATTCCTAAAGAGTCCTAGTGGAAGGACAAGTCCAGGCAGCCTGACCCTCGCCCCCAGGAGCACACAGATAATTCATTTCCACCTGGATATTCTGTCACGCATAAGGAATAAGGACCACAGCACCAGCTCTTTTAAGACTTTAAGTTTTATAAAAGTATTTGACTTACTGAGATACTGTTACAGTTACCTGAGTATTTGAAATTACAATGCAAGGAAATATCAACAATGAATTTCAGTACAGTATTTTACAATCCAGTGCTGCTGATCCCAGTTTCTACACAAGTTCACTAGAGCACATATACACAAACAGTGATTCTTGGAGAAAATGAAAAGACACCACAAAAAAGGGAGCTGGAGATACCAATATAACAGTTGAGTTTACAAATCTAGTGCAGCATGTAATAAAATAAGATTTAAAAAAAAACAAACCAAAAAACCACTAACTCCACCAACAATTTTTTATTTTTCTTAGAATAATAAAAAAAGTTGGTTTTTTTAAACACAAGCAACTGGATTAAAAAAACTTCCATACTAGATAACGACATGATATATTTACTGTGCATGTCATTAGTAAATGAACAGTTCCTGAGCTACTCATAACAATAAGGCTTTGTTAATTTTCAGTATTTCATTTTCTTATGTCATTCTCATGAGGGAAAATTCTAAATAAAATTTCTTTTAATACTTGGCAATTAGGATCAAGTAACAGTTGCATATGAATGTACATTTGTGACATACTATGAATTTATGCAGCTCAGGTTGCTAAAACAGTTGAAGCAGTGGGAGACAAATTAATTAATTTCTTCTGAAAATCTTATTTATAAATCCAATCCACAAAAACCTGTTATCTGGGCGAGCAGCTGCTCTGAGCTCATCCCTGTATTGCTTCACCAGATCCCCAGGAAGAACTAAAAAGTGCACCAGTGGCTTGTATAATTCCTTTGAATCTCTACACAACATGCTGTAAAAATTTAACAGATTTGATAGTATTCAAAAGTCAAATGCCTAAGCAATCTGAACTTGTGCCTTCAGAAATATTGTCAATGTAACACTGTAAAGTTGCTTTCAATTTTTTATATTTGGCCAAATCCGATGTTTCACTGATTATTTTTCCCCCATCAATGAATTCTTTATTTGCAATATTTTAAAATTATATCTGGTGCTTGGGATATCCAGCCCCCTTTCTCCCATCCTGGTACAGCAGAAAAGACATATAAACATGCCATTTAAATTAAAGAAACAATGGAATAAGTGGAATCCTGGACATCAAAAATATATACAAGCAGGTATGTTTTTCCTGAACTAAACATTTCAACCATAAAAATATTCAACAGCCAAACCCTATAGAACTAGGGCTAAG